CAGACTTATAATTGAATTCTATTATTTTAATTTAGTACGAAGTATATAGCTTAGTATATAACTTATAATAAGTGAAATAGTTCATTATTTATATAGATAGCTTCGTCAAAAAATACCTGCTCTTTTCAGATACCCCAGATAAACTACATAAGCTCGATGATCCAGGTCTTGATTTCTTATGAAAAGCTGAATGATTCTTTGTTTTTCTGATGCTTAAACTGAAGAGACATATAAACTGTGCATAAATTTAATAAAAAGAAAATATTTAATGATGATCATATATATTTACGAATAAAGAGAATTAATACAAATAAAAACACAATTTCATTGTTTCATGGATTCAACCAATCTTCTTTTCACTTCAGTTCAGTTACTAAAACTAGTTCATGCATGCAAATAAGTATGTCGGCTCACGTGTGGGTTTTTGAAACTTAAGTTTCGACCTGTTGGCTTCGGCACTTTTTATTTACGTCAAGCTAGAGATGCGCAATGGGCTATTGGCGTCTGTCTGTTAAACATTCCTAAAGATGAGTCGGAGACAACATACTTACGTCACATCCCGGTTTACAGGAAGGAACGCATTCCCACTCCATCCAGCCGCAGATCACAATTTTGACCTGAACCAGAGCACGGTCCATCTCCGATCTGGCAGCCCCAGAGGTATTAATTTGCTGTGGGAACTTAAAGGAGTTTGTGAACCCCAGAGGATTTAGTGTACACAAGTCACAATTTTGTACACGGGGAAACTGCAGCTGTCGAAGATCGAACTCACGACCTGTCGGAGACGGTCCCAATGCCTTACCATCCAAACTATCTGGCTCTTCGATCTGTTGAAAAATACTACTTTTGGGTTGAATCCTTTTAAGAGAACAGAGAAAAATTAAAGCGCAAAAATATATTTAAATTTATAATTTATGAATTACATCATGAATTTTTTAAAAATTATATCATGAACCCTATATATTTAAAATTTATTCCATACCCTGTTTTCTACACTCACCAACCCTAGTAGTTGCTTCTCATGCATCATAAGATCAAAAGAGAAGACGTCGCCAATAGCCCATTGTGCAGATCTAGTGCGACGTAAATGAACAACAACAACAAAAGGGAAGAACGGTTTATGTCAATTTTTTGACAAATTACGACCAGATTACCACCTGTTATATTTTGAAAATAAGTTTTGTCAAATCAATAATATAGAAAATCGGTTCCTCCCGAGGTTATTGCGCAATGAAAGCTTTCGGGTGACTCTTCAATCTGATGTGATTTTATTCTGCTTTTAACTGTTTCAAAATTCTGGAAATAAAGTTTTAGTGGTTCGTTGGCCTTCTACTCAGAGGTTTGCTCCGTGGGTCACGGTGGGGGGTCTCTCTGCTGTCGGCCCTAATGTCTGCAGCTGAATTGGTAGTGTGTTGTGGTGCTCTTAACTAGGCACCACAACACACCTTGGGGCCTTGTGCTTGAGAGTCCACGAACTCCTTGGTCTTCTGGTGCTCCGATTACAGTATCCAAATGCATTTGGTGTATGGGCCTGGGTTGCCGTAAATTAAGTGCCCTTACAGAGTGGAAATAGGTTTTTCTGTCTAAACAGTCTGTTTGCTCGAATATTAGTTTTTTTTTTCATAATAAGCTTACATGGACATAAACCGTTCGTCCCCTTTGATTTTCTTAAAAGTGTTTTTTTTTCTCTTTAAATTCGATAAAAAAAGACCATTTTGTTAAGGGAATTTATAATTATTAAAATATTATACAAGCGTATTTTGAAAATATGTTAATCGCAACGAAATGGTAGGATATTTGGATTTGAAAAATTATCAACCATACATGAAAAACTTAAGAAAACGGAATGCGATATTTAATAATAAATAATAAATTAGAAGTAATTTTACTTGCTAACGATATATAACTAAAACCCTATTTCATATAACTATTAGATGCAGTTCATATCTCTCTTCAGTCTTTCTATTTCTATCGATTTTGATATAAATGTTAAAATTTATATCTGGCAACATATAATCTCTTTCTTATTTCTTATTTTTTCATTTTTTTAAACTTGATATCAAACCAAGCGCTAGCTGAGAAATTAAAAATCACGTAATACACAAATTTTTATACAACAATGGAAAAATAATTACTATTTAAGGAAAAAAATTGCAAATCCATCACTCTTTGCAATTTTTTTCGTTAAATAATAAAATAATTATTATTTTTCAATTGTTTTCCATTGCAGAAATCCCTACTTTGGCCGGGATAGCCTGGTTGGTAGGGCACTGAGCCCATGTCCAGAAGTTTGTGGGTTTGATCCCCACAGGCCGAAGACTCCCCGTGTAGTAAATGGTGACTCATGCACGTTAAATTTGTCGAGTCACAAAGTCTTCCATGTGCCCATAACAAATCAATACCTCTGGGGATACTGATCCAGGAGTTTCCTTGCCTTCTGTATTGGTTCAAAACTACAAGGCTACGGAGCTGAACATTAGTAGTTGTAAACCCAAAATTGGGTCGGCTGTTCAACGACGGATAAAACAAACTAAAAATTAAAAAAACACTTAAAATTAAAATAAATTCAGAATGAATAGTTGTAGTTGTAGTTCATTTACGTCACACTAGAGCTGCTGCTGTTGTTGTTACTTTACGTCGCACTAGAGCTGCACAATGGGCTATTGGCGACGGTCTGGGAAACATCCCGGAGGATGATCCGAAGACATGCCATCACAATTTTGATCCTCTGCGGACGGGATGGCACCCCAGCTTCGGTAGCTCGACGACCTGCGCGCGAAGTCGAGCACTTTACGGTAGCACAGTTTAACGAGGACCAATACCGCACACCCTCGGTCCCTACGCAGACTGATCCAAGTGGTCACCCACTTGGCACACTGACACACTTGGCACACTCAAGCACACTGACCGTAGCCAGTGATGCTTGACTTCGGTGATCTGCTGGGAACCGTGTCTTAACGATNTCATAAGAAACAGTATTGAAACCTAAACTTTCACACATTTTCTTGTGGCATTCAGTTACACTGAGTTTATTTCGGAACTCATAGTACATAATCGTTCTGATCTGCTTACGTGATAGCTCCATTTCAAACACTTTTCTGGTGCACAAGATGATAAAGTTTTGACAAACAAATTACACAGTTGTGTAGTTCCAACTTTCAGCTTTAAAATGCAAAAGCCCATTTCAGAAAAGGTTAACTACCACGGGAATGGCTGCTGCTGGCACGGAGGTATCTCCTCTTGGCGGAAAACTTTTTACTCAACCCGATATTTATATCCGGCAGCATATAATCTCTCTTTTATTTCTTATTTATTCAGTTTGTTTAGACTTAACATCAAATCAAGAGCAAGCTTAAAATTTAAAAATCACGTAATACGTAAATTTTCATACAACAATGGAAAAAGAATTATTATTTAAGGAAAAAAATTGAAAATCCACCAGTGTTTGCAATTTTTTTCTTTAAGTAATAATTATTTTTCAATTGTTTTCCATTGCAAAGACCCCTACTTAGGCCGGGATAGCCTGGTTGGTAGGGCACTGGGCCCATATCCAAGAGTTCGTGGGTTCTATCACCGCCGGACGAAGAATCCCCGTGTAGTAAATGGTGACTGATGCACGTTAAATCTGTCGAGTCTCAAAGTCCTCCATGTTCCCACAACAAATCAATACCTCTGGGGGTACTGATCCAGGAATCCCCTTGTCTTCTGGATTGGTTCAAAATGACAGGCTATGGAGTTGAACATTAGTAATGGTTAACCCAAAATTGGATCGGATTGTTCAATGATGGATGAAAAATAAATTACTTAAAATTAAAATAACTTCAGAATGAGTAGAAATTTCAAAGAAAAAGGAACATTTGTTTTGAGCGTAATTCAATATGGCACCATCAGCACGTCAAATTTCAACTCTTAAATTACATTTCAACAAACCAACATGTTTTCTTTATCAGAAGTTTAACAGTTCATAATGCTCGCAATTTTAAATCAAATCGTAATTTTTTTTTACTCCATCTAACTTTTCATACAGTTTACTACACACTTTCGTAATTTTAAATTACTAAGTATTATAGATTCTTAGCTACCGAGCAAATTGTAAGCAAAGCAACAAAAATCCGCAGGCACGAACTTAAAATTGCAATAACTTTAGAGCAAATAGCAATTTCAAAATAAATAAATAAAAACTCTATGTTGAGTACAATAAACAAATATAGTCTTTCTAACATTCTTAACTTCAAATTTGCATACCTGAGGCCTGTAAGGTATTTTTTCTAACAAGTTTAACAGTTGCTAATTATCAAAATTACTCTTTTATTTCATTGTAACCTCTGTACACTTTTATACACATCTTAGAAAAAAAAGATTAAGTCGTATAGTTTTTGCGCAGCAAAACAGAATGTTACGATAAGTTGAACACTCTAAGCAGCAACTGCGGTGTTCTTCGTAGCTTTTTTAATTTAAAAAAGATTATTGTTAATATTGGAAATTTTATTTGATTAGAAGTTGTCTCTAGCAAGTTTGAATGCTGAGTTTAACATACTCACAAAACTCACCATTATGAATTTAATAGGCGACGACTTTTCTAAAAACACAGAATAGTATTAATAATTAACAAAAACTGAAAAAAGATAGCCTAAGTGATTGAGTAAGTAAAATTCACACAAATGTAAAAAAAAATCCTCCTAAAGGTATGTTCATGTTAGTTTTTTTGATTTGTCTAGAATTCTTTATTTTTTAAGTATTCTAATATCAAGTGAATAATGAAATCTTTTATAACACTAATTTTTTTGTGAAAAATACCTTTAATCCAACGTATTAGATTAAGATGCTATAATTTTCGACCAAATGTTAATGTAATGATTCCGCTATACTCGAAACTTCCGCTATATTTCCACTATACAAAGAAAAAATACTTCTTTAAAGATAACGTTCTAAGTTAGAAGTTTTCCATTTAAACAACATTTGAACCTATAAGTAGTTTCTGCGCAGGTCCTATTGCGCTGGTGTATATTTCGAAGCATATAGAATTAAATCAAAATGTTGAATTGTAAACAAGTACTTGAAACGAATGCACTGTTAGCAAAAGTGACGTTTTATTTTCTGAATTTGTCAATAGTGAGACAAGACTCTGTTTAACGAGGATTAATCGTAAAGATGCCCGAATATGAAAAAGAAACTTCGGATGAATTGTAAGTCCTTTTACGCTATTTTTTAAATTACATATTTCAAATTAACAATTTTTTAAAGTCAAAAAACAGCTGCGTAAATAAATTCACTACAAACTAATTGGGGTTCAAAGAACTCAATATTTTATTTGGCGTTTAATAAATTGTGTAACAACTCAGAAAATCCTTAACTTCAATTCAATAGTTCTTTTACTTTTATTATTGTAATTTAAGTTTATTTATGTTTGGCTATAACAATATTTTAATTTTATACAGTCATTTAAGCGAAGGAAATGTACAAAAATTTATCCTTCTTTTTCAACGTGGTACCCATTCTTCAGTTAATCTATGATTTCTCTGGTAAATTTGCGACTATAATTCTACAATCGCACATTTGATTTAAAAACATTACAAGCAATTTAAAAATTTGTTCAATCAAATGTTAGGATAGACGTTTAACATTGATTTTGTTAATAATTAAATGTTTTAAGGTATTCGTCTGGTAGAAAATCTGCAGTTTTTATGAAGCTTTTTACTTTTTTTTGTCAAATGAGAATTTTGTTAATTAGTTTCTTTAATTTTTGTTCTAATGTCTTTAGAAGGATGTTATAGTTGTTTATTTGCATGCTGAGAGACAAAACAGAACAGAAGTTACACTTACTTAAAATGCATTTTCAGAATAATGTTGATTTTAAGAAAACCTGCTTACAAGAAAAGCTTATAATAGAATTTTTTGAAACTTTGAATGTAAATTTTGCATTATGTTATTTATGTTATACACCTAATATGTTATTCACACTAAACCTATGGTCCAAGAGTGAATTTATTATTTTTATCACACTTTAAGTAAGAATGTTTAGAATTTACCCTTAAATATATCAATATTGAACAATATATTTAATTCTATTTCATTGTGCACTTGGAATCTTATAAACATTTTAGTTCTAAACAGAAATAACTATACTATAGATCTAGAAAATTTTTTTAGTTTTTATTTATTGCAATTTGTTGTAGAGCTGATAGCTTTACTTAAAAAGATAGTTTTTATGCTCAAATTTGTCTTCATTTTGAAAAAAAAAATTTCAATTTTTAAAGTTTACCAAAACTAAAATTAAAGTTTTAATTAAGACTGTTTTGAAAAATATTGTGTCGAACCCAGACGGAAATACTAAAATTGTTTGAAATCTATCTAAGTTTCATAAGGGAACTTTAAATTTATAATTAATTATGTTACATAAGCTCTAGAAAATACTAACTGAATTTATGCTTTTTTCTTTTTTTTTAAAGAAAACTTAAAACTTTCAATCTATTTCTTAAAAATTTATACCACATATTACCTGATCAATCAATCAATATTTCTTTACAGGTAACTAATTTCAGCAATTTTGTAGCATGAGAAAATGATGTTTAAAAATCTTATCCGAAGGGTTTTAGAAAAAAAAAATTCTTGTTCAATATTGAAAATTAATAAATATAACAGATATCAAAATCTTATAAAAGGTATACAATTTTATTTCAAATTTTAAACTCAACAGCAAGATCACTTGACAGAATTATTTAATGATGGATTGTTTACTAATAGAATTTTTATGCTAATTATATTTTATGTAAGCACATTGTGTCATCATATTTCATTAAAAAAAAAGTCCAGAATGAACCATTTTTTTTTTCATTTTTGGACAACTGCAAGTCATTTATTGTCTAAAACTGGTCTGAGCACTAATTACTTTCAAATATGTTGCTGTGTTATAAGAAATGTAGATAAACAAATTTTGGGATAAAGTAAATAATGTAAAAGGAAATGAACTACCTCATAAAGCGATAGATACATGCTTTACGTACCAGTTCAGTGCTTTTTGGAACTCTGTACATAATTTTTTTGTACTTTATTTTATCATCAGTCTAAAGATGTATTTATGCTTAAATATATTTATTAAACAAAATCAAAATAAGAACCGAATAGGCGCCATTAAAAACTAGCTTTTCGGGTAGAGAGATCACCTGTAGATAATTATACAGCAAGCATAAAAATACGTTTAGAGAATTAAGATAAATTTAATTTAAATTTTTAATCAATTTTCTAGAGGAATATTAGTCCTTTATTTCCTTTCAACTTCTTAATAATTATTAAAGATATTTTACTCAATTATTAAAGATATTTTACTCTAAGCGTTTGCGGTTTAAAAAAAAAGATATAATCAAAAACTTAATAAAAAATTATTGAGAATTCTTTTAATTAAAACTTAATTTAAAGAATAATTATTTATTAAACAATTCTTTACAGTTTAAGGAAATCTACTTTTATTAAAAAACTAATTTTTTAAAAGACCTACGCCTTTTAAAATTGGAATGATTATTCAAAGTTTGATTAGATTAATACTTGAACAAAAGCTTGATTAAAAGTTTTATGCTTGATTATTAAAATGAATTGTAATAAAAATTTTAAGAAAAGCTACCTCATTATTTCTAAAACAATTTAAGCATATTTTTAACTTCAATTAAGTTTTGAGTTATTAAGTAAAATTAAATGAAATAACATTTTGTTACGGAATCTTAAATTATAGTTTCATTAATTAAAAAAAGTAATGAATGAGACACTAAATTCGAAAATTTTCAGTCTTATATATCTCATTGGAACACATTTATTTTCTTTTTCAGCTTATTCAGCGCATTAATTTATTTCAAAACTAATTTGTTCATCGCAGTATGATTACCCGACAAATAATATTCGTTCGTTTATTCGTTTCGGGAAAACTGAAAAATACTTTTTTCATGCTAAAAACTCGGGCGGTTAAAACATTAGACTAATAACTATGGTTGTTTCATGTTACGCAGCTTTTTATTTTATTTTGAGTTCATTTAATGGAATTTGTTGACATAGTCATTATGGATTGAGATATATTTCCCATGAGACACTGCGAATTTCAAGATTATTAGAGCTCGGTATTTTTAATTAAAGTTTGGTATCTTTGTTAAATAGAAAATGAAAAACGAATTTGTGGATTATAAATCTGTTTCTGAAATTCCTATGCTAATTATATCTAAAACTGAAATTCGATTTGTGTGCTGTGTTTTTATTCACCTAATTAAGAAGAGGAATATTTATCTACTGAAGTATTTTTCTTCCTTAAAAAATTTTTATTATTGAGTATAATTAATAAAGTCAACTTTTTAGTTTCATTGAAGTTGAATACTGTGATAATTTGTTTTTAGTTTTCATTGGAATGTGTAAAAAATAGAATAGCAGCAAAATTTCAATTAAGTTGATTTAGAATCCTTGCAAACTTGTTTGATTTTTATAAGATATTTTATATTCTTTTTTTAGATAATTTGTGCTTTGCATCTTTGTTTCAAATTCATGGATTTAAAAAGCGGCGTTGTTTTTTCTTTTTTTTTCGTGTTAAGCTTATTCTATGAACTAATAAGTAAAATTAAGGATATTTATTCATTTCAAGCATTTTGAAATTTAAATTGTATTTTCCCCCAAAATTTAATAATACTAAAATTCTCATGCTTATTAAAACTTAAGGATGCACGCATTGCATTATTTACAAAATTCAATTATAATTAGCAGTTGAAATTCTTTTAAATAACGTTACAAAAACAAAACATTTAATTGTAAATAACTGAGAGAAGCGTAATTCATTATTGCATATCCACCATCTTAGGATAATTGCTTTTAGTGTAGGATTTATTTTTCTCAGCTTAGAACAGGTTCTATGAGACAAAGACACTCTTGTGAATTGTCCCCTTTTTTGTCAAAGTTTATACCCCGTTTAAAATTTCAGGGAATAGAATTCATCAATACTAAATGCATATACTTCTAAATGCATATCTCCCATATGGGATTTGAATTTTACTCCTTAAAAAATTTACCGAGATTGAAGAATACTCTTTGTAAAATTGTTGTTCAAATCATAGTTGTTCTGTTCTTGAAAAAATATCCCCTTCAAAAAATCAATCAATGAATAATATATCTGTAAATATGGAAGCTGACAACAAAACGTTATTCATATATTCTGAATTTAATTGCTCTAATTGGGACAATAACAACTGCTTCTTGTGAAAGAGGCTTCGTAACTCAATATAAAACAACATTTAGCTTTACTTGGTAATCGGCGTTTAGATGTTCCCTCATAAGTGTCTTCATAAGCCCTTGTGAAGTGTCTCCTTTCATACTTTGGTAAACAATGCAAACATAAATCGAAGCATAAAAGTTTTAATTCCATATATTTAACAATATTTTTTTTCTTCATTTCTTAGTCTAATTAACCATAATAAAAATTTTATAATCTTGATAATAAAATTTAAACAAGTTCTAGGGACATACTTTAAATAAATATAACAAGGTCTAAGGATTTGATAAAAATAAAAAATGCTATTTTTGCCTCAGCTGTCTGTAGAGCATATTAAGCTGGAAAGTATAAAAAAGCATGTAATAGATTGTTAAGTATCTACCTTTTCATGCTTGGGAGCCAGCTTAAACAGCTAATAAGCATGAGATGCTTGCACATAGCTTATCATGCTAGTACGATGAATGCTAGGTATCTAGCATGTGATGCTGGCAAGCATAAAAAAGCATATAATAACTTGCTAAGGTACCTACCTCACCATGCTTGGGAGCCAGCTTAAACAGCTAATAAGCATGAGATGCTTATACATAGCTTATCATGCTGGTACGATGTATGCTAGGTATCTTGCATGGTATGCTGGCAAGCATAAAAAAGTATATACTAGTATGAAAATCTAGCAGACCTAGCAATACACAGCAAAAACTAGCATATTTTTGTTGCTGGTACCAGCATGAATTTTGACGTGGGTAATAAAAAAAACTAAGAATAATAGTAAGTATTTTTTTTTGGTCAAATATTAAAGTAATAATTCTTAGGTGTTAACTTTGTATAACACATCGGTTTGTTATAAGAGTATATCGGTTTGCTATGAAGTGTTGATAATTTACAAACTCGATCTATTTTTATATGCGTAATATCATAACAAAAATTTGAGAAACTTAAATCCCTCTC